CTATACAGCAGCCTTCTCAAGAAGGAATTATCCAGTCCAATATGTCAACAGGGAGTTAAACAACTCTGATTTTCAACAAGTATTTCTTATGCTTGTTTGTCATTTAATTTTACTTATTTGGGATCATTTATGTATTACCATGGATCTCCGATTATATCTAACTAGAGGCCCAATGCACTAAGATTTATGCAAGAATGGGCCTTCCTTCCTCTGGTTGCCAGCACTGCCTTTGCTCTGGCCTGGTGCCACCTTTCTGCCTTTCCACACTAGCAACCTGCCCCGCCTAAGCCACTCAGCACCTGCATATGCAAATTAACTTACCATCTTTGTTGGGTTAATTTCCATACTCACTCATGATTGACTGGTAGGCATTGCGAAGGTACAGTCAATTAGCATGTTACTCTAGCAAGATAGTTGAGAGCTCATGTGAGCTGAGAGCAAGATAGCTCTCAACTCACATGAGCAAGATCATCCTTACAGGTCTCAATGATCATAAAATGGTGACCACAGAGACTTAATGTCCAAAATATTTTTCTTAAAGGTGAGTCACCATTAGTTTGACGCATTTTCTCTATTTAATGCTTAAAACAAGATAGGATGGTGTCTGGGACAGATACATACATGTTGTGAGGATAGCCTATATCTTCATGCCCTTGAGCAGCAACTGTTCATTATCCTAACTGGAAAACTCAACTCTGAACCTGTTTATCCATTGTTGTTTTATTTGACAGCTATAGGTCTTAATATTCCTCAACAATTTGCACATAGTTTACTAATGATGTTTTCTCCATGTCAAACTAAATAAAAGGGGGAAAAAAGCATATTCCTGTCTTTCTTTTACACACACACACACACACACACACACACACACACACACACATTTTTTTTTTTAAGTTAGCACTGTTCATTTATGAATCTGTTAAATTCTGTCCACCTCTATGGCCACTGTGTAACATCTTCCCAAATAGACTTGCTTCATCTCAAGCCTTCCTTCAATCCATGTGATATATAGCATTTATCGATACAATGATCTTTCAGAATACTTGTGTATGCTATTCTCTGCTTAAACTCACCAAGTGAGTACAATTTTATCCCATTGTACTTGGAATAAAATTCAAGATACTTAAAATGACTATGTATCCCTATTGGATGATCTAGTCTCTACTTCTCTGGCACTATTTTGTGTTTCAAGCTCCTTCTCTGATTATGTTACAATGACACCAACTTTGCTCTTTCTGTCTTAGAGACTCTGAATATGATGAAGATAGCTCCTCTTCATCATTATGATCCCTGTCTAGATGAAATTTCTTCATGCAAGCTGCCCCTGACTTTGCTCACTTAAAATTAGGGGCCCCAGCTTTAATCTATGAGGTGTTATTCACAGCACAATCAGAATATGTAATTAATTATAATAAGTGTTTATTCACAGCACAATCAGAATATGTAATTAATTACCCATCTATTTAATAAGTGTTTGTATATTATACCTCTCCAACTAGAGATTGTAAACTCATCAAGGCACCAATATTATGTTAATACCAGAGGTTCCGTGCAAAAAATTCATGCACCTAGGTGGTCCCTTAGTCTATACCCTATTGCAGTCCGAGACCCTTCAGGGGATGTCCAACCACCAGCTTAGGACCAATCCCTCTATTGTAGACATTATTACCCAGGGAGATAGGGCCTAAGTTGGCAGTTGGACATCCCTCTCACAATCGGGATCTTTTGCTCCTTACCGCCTGCATGCTTGCTGCTCCTTACTGCTTGGCTTGCTGCTTCTTAGCACTGCCGTGGAGGGTGGAGAGGCTCCCACTACCCCTGCTGCACTCACCAGCCTTGAGTCCGGCTTCTAGCTGAGTGGTGCTCCCCCTCTAGAAGCACACTGACCACCAGGGGGCAGCTCCAGTGTTAAGTGTTTTCCCCTGATGGTCAGTGCTCATCATAGTGATCGGTCGTTCTGCCATAATGATCTCTTACGCTTTTATTATATAGATTGTTCATATCTTTTTTTTTTTTTTGATTGAGAGACTGTTCATATCTTAATTGAACCCAGCACAGTATCTGGCACAAAGCAGGTACTCAATGAATACAGAATTCCTTAGTAAAACTTAAGGCTATTGTGATTATCCAATTGACCTTTTATTATTTACAATGACTAATATAAGTTTGTAATCTTATCAAATGCCTAATTTTACAAATATGTTTAGAAAAATATTATTTTCTTCAGACCATATGAGGTATAGTTTTCAAGGATGCTTGAAGTTGGATTAAGGAGCTATCAAAGCATAAATCATGCCTACTCTTAGCTAGAGACTGCCAATTGAGATGTATACTACCTCAAATAATCAGTAGTTAATCTGCCTACAGTATAAATGGTTAGGGAGGAAACATACCTTGTCATTCTAACAAGACACATTATAAAGCCCTAGCTGGTTTGCCTCAGTAGATAGAGCTTTGTACCACAGACTGAAGGGTCCAGAGTTTGATTCCAGACGAGGCCATATATCTCACTTGCAAGCTCTATCTCTGAGCCTGGAACCACTGATCAACTGATGTTTCTCTCTCTGTGTCTCTTCCCCTCCTTTCCACTCTCTCTAAAAACCAACTGAAATAATACCCTCAGTTGAGGATTAACAACAGTAACAAAAAGACACATTATAAAGATCACACACATCTAGACTGAACTAGAACTAATCAATGAGAAATACAGCAGTGGGAATACACTATGTTATTTGGGGAATTTTGTGGCTCTTCATCAAACTAGTAATTCACATTGACCTATGGTTTCTGTTCTATATTTACAGAACTGGTTACTTTGAATCTTATGCTCACCATTTTATTATATTTTACCCTTGAAAACTGCCTCAATTAAATCTTACTTTTAATTAAACAATAATCTAATCTGTCTCAATTATTTAATGCACTGGGAATAGGATTTACTAAAGAAAGAACTTTCATATAGTTATAAATAATATTACAGTAATCATGGATTTGTCAGTTATTTTGAAGAAGGAACTGCTGTCATGAGTCCATAAGAGATATGCCCTAAATCCCTAATTTTTCTTATTTAAAAAAAAAGAAAAGAAAAGAAAAAATTAATAGCTGGGCAACATCTGGGAGGAAATAACAGCAAGAACAGAAAATGAGTTTGAAATGTATTTGTTATTTGTTATGTTGACTTATCCACAATTTAAGGTCTAGCCTATAATAGTGGCCTATGATGGCCATAACTCAGAATCTATCTTTAACAAATTGATAAATTTACTATCATGCTCTTTTGGATGATTTATATATAGCTTATGAATGCCAAGGGTCATTTCTATGGTTATTTAGAGCAATGATATGGCCCTAGAAGTCACCAAGTTGAGATACAGGAGGGCCTGCATAGCAATTGCTAAGGATTTATTCTTTAATCCCATTTTTGTTGTTTGTTTCCTGAAGATATGCCATAGTGTTTCCTTCTTGCTCTATTTGCCATGAATTATTTCCTGTGACCTTTTGGCAAGCTAGAAAGAAAGTTAGAAGACAAACGATTCTCCTATTGCACCCTAACCCCACCCCATATACACACCTGTTGTTGATAGGCATCTCCCTTTGACAGAGGTGATCTATTTTTCTTTTTTAAAATATTTTATTTTATTGTTTTATGTAGTACATATATCTCCTTTTTTCTCTCCATAAATCTTCCCCAATCCCTTATGCAATCCATGTGAGAAAATGGATGTCGTGTATGGGACAAAGTTTATAAATTTATGTTTCATGCAAGACCCTCTGTAAACTGGTTTCTGATTATTTTTCCAGTTTTATCCTTCTCCACTCTCTAAATTCCATTTTATGTTCTAGTAATATTGGTCCACCTTGTTGATTTGTGACCTGGCATCTTAGTTTGCCTTAAGCATTCTCCCCAAGAATTTCATTCTTTTCTTTTCTTTCTTTATCAATTGGTTAATTCCTATTCATCCTTTGTGATTCAGCTCAGGCATTACCTTTTCCCTTGAAAACCATCCTTAATTACCTGTAACAGTGGGAAGCAACTTTTCTGCAAATATCTAGCACCGTGTGTAAATAAATCACTGGTCTTTGCATACTGAATTGGCATTTTTAGTTTAGAAATCTGCTCTTTTCTTTGACGATATACTATTCAAGGCCATGACCTACCATACTGCATGGCAATAAATATTCATTGACTGGACAAAAGGAAACGCTGTGTTTTCTATTTTTTAAGTATTATCACAAATGTATTACATAAAAATTACACATAAAACAATAAGAGAGTTTACCTAAAAGTAAACTCTAAAATGCACCAAACTACAACTTACTATTTGGATAAATAAACTTTCCTTGCCTTCAGTTTGGGGCCCTGTTTTCCTATTTTCATATGTCAACATATAATATTAATGATCATCATCAACATCATATATTGATTTGGGATGCCATTCTCAAATTCTACAAGACACATAATTGGTTTTATATAAGCTTTGAAGTTTTAAGATGATTTGTGGGAATAAATTAAATAGGCTTGACCATAGTAATATACTATGATTATTGAAGTAACATGCATGTATGTTATATATGTATTTTCTGTTTATTAGTTTTGCATTCTTGAAATAAAACTATACTGCTATAACAATGTCTCATTAACTTTTTCAATATATTATATTTTTATTTTAATAATCATCTTACAGCCGAAACCGGTTTGGCTCAGTTGTAGAGCGTCAGTCTGTGGACTGAAAGGTCCCCGGTTCGATTCCGGTCAAGGGCATGTACATTGGTTGCGGGCACATCCCCGGTAGGGGGTGTGCAAGAGGCAGTTGATTAATGTTAATCTTTCTCATTGACGTTTCTAGCTCTCTATCTCTCTTCCTTCCTCTCTGTAAAAAATCAGTAAAATATATAATAAAATAAAATAAAATAAAATAAAATAAAATAAAAAATCATCTTACAAAATGCAGAAAATCTGCTGTGGTGTGATTATATGGATTTTACTTAATGTTTTGAACAATTTTACCATTTGCAATTGGATTCAAGAAAAATGAGAATAGTCTACCATATGGATTAGAATGAGATTTTAATGGAAACAGAAGACGGAAAAGCTGGAAGTATGTATCCATGTTTCCTCAGCACATGGTGCCTGGTACAATCCCTTAGCAAAGCTCACATGGCCTCAGATGGGAAGGGAGAATGCTGTCCATGATAAAACAAATGAAGAAACAAAAATTGGCCATTTCATTGTCCTCACTTGTAGATTATCTACTATATAAAATAAAATTTAATTTTTCTTCTGATTTAATGATTTACTCTAATTTTTCTTTGAGAAATCCTTATAAATAGTTAAAAAGACAGATAATTCTATAGGTCTCAAAGCAATCACATCTGGTCCACTTATTATTCCTATTAGGACTCCCCCATACAGACCACCAAAATGAAAGGTCAACAGTGGTATGCAGGGAGGCTAAAAAGCTATCGCAGGTGGTGGGTGAAGAAAAATTGAATTTATTTAAGGAAAAAGGATGGGGGATGCGATTCCCAAAGGGAAGGGCTGCACAGCACTGAACTAAGGGGACAATGGGTTGATGATGGCAGCACACAGGAGCTGGAGTTTCATCCTCATATGCAGTCACTGGTGAAAGCTATTATGGCTGAGCTGGTGGGTTTGAAATGCAGAGGGAATGTGGATGTGCAATCACATGTTTTTTAGGATGGTCTTAATTAATTCCTTCTCTGGTTTGATTCCCGAGGTCCAGCAAGTTTTCCTGGTCTTTGTTCTCCTGTGGCGGGAAGCTTACAAATAGATATTAAGGATTATATTATTGCCCTATGGTCCTAACAATTTCCACTCCCTAGAAGGACTCAAGAAAGCAATCCTTTTCAATTCTTTTAGCTATTACTTTGATGTTTTAAAATTAATCAATGCAATTGAATTATTCAACAAATATTTTATGTCTCCAGTGTGCTAGATACTTGGAACAAATCAGCAAACAAGTAAACAAAGACACCTGCCCTCATGGAGCTTGTAATCTAAAGGGCCACTAAACAACAGATTTGGCAAATTGGTAAATCATAATTAATTGCTTATAGAAGAGAATGATGGCTGTGGAAAAGAAGTATAGAGCTAACTGGGCAGAGACTACTGAAGGAAAAAATAGCCTGAAATTTGAATACAAGTGATAAGGGTAACCTTTCAAAGCATATGATATTTGAACAGGCTTTAAAGGAGGTGAGGAAGTTGCTATTTGAATGTGTAGAGCTTTTCCTGTATTCTGTGCATTTGCTATTTTTATTCTCTGCTTTTTCTATTTTAAATTTTCTTAAAATATCTGTCAGTTGCCGAAACTGGTTTGGCTCAGTGGATGGAGCGTTGGTTTGCGGACTGAAGGGTCCCAAGTTTGATTCTGGTCAAGGGCATGTACCTTGGTTGCAGGCACATCCCCAGTGGGGGGATGTGCAAGAGGCAGCTGTTGATGCTTCTCTCTAATCGATGTTTCTAGCTCTCTATCCCTCTCTCATCCTCTCTGTAAAAACTTAATAAAATATATATTTAAAAAAAATCTGTCAGTCCTTAAAGATTAATTTGAATTTAAGAATGAGGGACTTAAAGCATTTTATATGCTCTGTGGACATGGGTAGGGCTTGCTGATTGGTGGAATTAATTTTAGTGTGACAAAGCAGCTAATCACTATTTCTATTGGGAAACCCCAAATATTAGTATTTGATTTTTTTTTTTTTTTTGCAGGCCAGTTCAGTTTATTTAGAGAAAAAAAAATCTATGTATAGATTTTTTCCTGTTCTTGGAGCATAAGCATGACTATGACTGTTGGTTTTCTCATAGACATGGGAACAGGACTGAGAGCCTTAGTGTCCATTTACAAACTTTTATTTAATCTACATCCTTTAATATTCCTGGTGTCCTTATACCCAGGGACTTGCTCAATGACTTTCCATGAGGGGAGGAGAGAACCACTATATCCTATAGATCTGGGTTTGAATGTCACTTGGCTGTGTGGGAGAAGATTTTATATTCTAGGAGTCTAACTGTCCCTTTAAAAGATGTGTCCACTAGTCCCCTTATTTTCAGTCCCATGCTTTACTCCTACCTTCCAGGGTCTCTGGTCCCTTCAATTCCTGAGCCTTTCTGGGAATCTGCTTGCAAATCATCTTGCTTTTCTTCTATACCCACTCTCTCTGAAGATTTCACATTCTTTTGTTTTACTAATTCAGTTGACATATCTCAGACCGCTTTTCATTTTTCGAAATTGTGTTCATGTCTTGTCTAACTGCAGTTTCATTTTCTATTCTGTGGTTATAGATGTTCACATATTAAAAAATATTTTCCAGCAATATCTGCAGGGTTCCCTGATGGGACAGCAATAGATGTGTGTCCAATCTGCCATGTTCAACCAGAAATCAGTACAATTTAATTAAATAAATATTTACATGGGCTCTATTTAGTGTGAGTCACTGTACAAGGGGTTATTGGTAATACATAAATTATTAAAACAGGACTTCTATGCTGCAACGGTTCAGAACTTAGTGTGGGAGAAATCCACAGCCTTCCACAGCTCTAACTCATATCAGATTAATAAATATACTTGGTTTGAATCATGCCCTCTAAAACTCAAGTCCACACAGAATTTTGGGACAGGGCCTTATTTGGAAAGAAGGTCTTTGCAGATTTATCAGGTTAAGATGAGGTCTATTAGGGCTGATCAAATAATTGAATCTATACTCCCTTCCTTGAGAACTGACCTTTAGACCTCTTCACAACCAACATTCCCTTTTGGTTAGACTACATTCCACTTACTAAGCCATTATCCTTCCCCTCTGGGGACCCGCCCAGAGAATTCTTCACTTAGAAAAAGCCCTCCTAGAAGCCTTTACAATCGTTGATTCTCCATCCTTGGGAGCTGGTGCCATTTTGGGGCTCAGTCCATCCGGTTTTCCAGATAACCTAATAAATTTATAATTCTTTATGCCCTTTGGCCTCATTGGTTCCTCCTTTGGAAACCCTAACAAGGTCCTAATATATTATCAATAGAATGAGCCCTAAATCTCAAAACATGTTATACGAGAAAGTAGAGAGAGACATGGCTATAGAGAGAGACAAATAGGAGATATAGGGAAAAGGCTATATGACGATGAAGTCAGAGATTGGAGTGATCCAGTTACAAAACAAAGAACTTCTGGGGCCACCGGAAGCTGGAAGGGGCAAGGAAGGACTCTTCTCCAGAGCCTTCAGAGGGCATATGGCCCTGCTAAGACTGGATTTCATATTTCTAGTCTCCAGAAGGTGAGAGGAACAGTTTCTGCTGTTTTAAGCCATCCCGTTGGTGGTACTTTGTTAAGGCAGCCCTAGGGAACTAGCACATCATAACAGAACAAAGTGTAACAGGAGAATACAAGCAGTACATAGCTCACCACGTGCACATCGGAAGGATAAAACCCGCTGCATTTACTTTTGGTCAAGTGACTATTGGCCAAGGACTCTCAGGGGAAGTGGGGAGGGGGTGCTAGAATAGATTAATCCAATAATTTATATGCATAACCCATGGATACAGTAAATAGTTCAATAGTGTGGTGAAGGTCTGGTGGTTAGTGATGGAGGAAAGCAAATGGGATGGGGGAGAGAACCTCTATAATACTTTCAATAATAAAGGTAAATTTTTATTTTTTTTATTTTTTTTAAAATATATTTTATTGATTTTCCACAGAGAGGAAGGGAGAGGGACAGAGAGCTAGAAACGTCGATGAGAGAGAAACATCGACCAGCTGCCTCTTGCACACCCCCTACTGGGGATGTGCCCGCAACCCAGGTACATGCCCTTGACCGGAATCGAACCTGGGACCTTTCAGTCCGCAGACCGACGCTCTACCACTGAGCCAAACCGGTTTTGGCAATAAAGGTAAATTTTAAAAATATGTTTGACATTATTATACTATATGCAGAAGTCCTTGATTATTTAAGGTCTGATTTTTCAGTGATAATTGCTAAAATGAGGGTTTGGACACATTTACACATTAACATTTTTATAATAACATCTTTTCTCAAAAAGTCATGGATGCCTTCTGAATATATTTGAGAAAATAAAAAAGTACACACTGAACATCATGTAATCATTATTTTTAAAAGAAAGTTGAGTGCCATTACAAGGCATTCTTGCCTCATGAATTTTCTACATATCAATAGATATGGCCTCATATTTTTGGCTGCCTTTCTAACTTCATTAACATTGAGGATAGCTTTTAAAGAAGTATTCTATTTTACCATTATAATCCAAATTGTCACCAAGATTATCTCAGCTAAAGCTGGAGTAATGGTTTTTGGCATATATATTTGAATGTCTTGGAAGTGCAGATGAATGTTTAAGAAATTGAAGTCTAGAAAGAGACAAATCTTGTTTGACAAATTCTAAAGACATTACAAATAAAATGAAAAGTGTTGGTGATGTAAGATGCAAATTGTTAACATTTATTGAGTAATTATGTATGAATTAACCAACCCATCAACATGAAGTGATGCTCCTGAGACATTTCAAATAAGCTTTGCAATCTAACTTAAAAAAATTAACCAAAATCTTAAGGGAAGCCAGAGAAAACAGCTATGGTTGCAAGCACATGGCAGTTAGCTGGAAATTGTTTATGTAGAGAGAAAAATGACTTCATTCGTCACTTGTAAGACCAAACATTTCCACTTGAGTGACTCACAATATATAATACAACAGTTTGATTCAGTTTTCCTTTTGGAAGCTAAGTGCATACTAACAATTATTTTTCTGAAGCTTTGAAAGTGAAAAGATGTTTCTTTGTTCCTTATTTTCTTCTAAAATATTATAGCCTTATCCAAAACTAAAATTCAGCTTACCTCCAGACTATGCCTCCTGCTGTATTCTTTGTATTAGTAGTCTAAAATATGCAATTCCCAAGATGGAAGACTGGAAGCCTTAATCATTCTGAATTACAAATCGGGTCAAGTTAAATCTTGCTTGAAGTCTGTCTTTCTTTCTTTTCTTATT